GTGGGGAACGTTACCCTAAATTTTCAGCTGCCTAGCTTTTGTGGTTCCCGAGTTGAAAGTTGCGGACAAGTTGTTGCGGACAGACACACACATACACAAACACACACGGACAACCCCGTAACAATATGCGTTTTGTACTGCTGTTACGCAGCACAAGACGCATAAAAATAGAGAGTGGTTGGGTTGATTCGTCGTGAACATATTTTGTAATTGAATGATACTTTACGGGGAGAGTGATAAAACACGTTGACATGGAATTATGGTAAAGTGGGGTAGCACTGCTTTCATGTAATAGGTTGAAAGTTTGATTTCGCCGGTAAGACAACCAATTCTTCTACGGTTGGTTCCTTTGTTTCAATGGTAATTTGTTATTGGTACGTGCCAAGGGTATAAATTCGCCATCAACTTGCTCGTAAGCAGCCCTTGAAAAAGAAAGCCATCGACAGCCTTGCCAGCGAATGGTTGCTTTTGGCATTCAGTACCACCCGGGCTACTTGCAAAAAGTCTTCGCCTCACACTGAGAACGAATATGCAGGGAATTTTTGTCTTTTTGATATGAAAGAAATCACGTGGATTGTGAGCAAAGTGGGAAGCAATGTGTTTTTACACCTAAAAAGGGCAAAAGATGAGAACTAGCAATGATAATCTTGTGAGGAAATACGGGTTTGAGGTATTATCCGGGATATCTGGATTTATGATGCTGTTCAGCTACACAAGCTGTTCCAGTTTTCTTCACCAGTGCTACGTCACCTTTGGTGGTCAGTCTGCTGGTGACCTTGGCTTCCGTTTATTTGCATAAATTGTGATAACTAGGCGTTGGTATGGATATGTTGAGTTTTTTACTCGTTCCAAGCCGTGTTTTTCTGTTTTACAGCATGATCTTGGAGTTTTTCACAAATATGCACGCAGATCTTGGTGGGATTATTATCAATGGAAAAGGAATGGTACAGCTTATCGGAGAGAAACTTTCGAACGGTTTAGTGGAGAAATTGGTGCACGAATGCTTGACACCAGCTGTTCCTTATGAAACGGAAGATCTGCCGGCATTTGAGCAACTTATCGCTGCATCAGAAGAATTTAGCACCGAAATGAAGGTTTTTTTTTTTTTTTGTAATTTATGTGTAACTCTTGTTTTTTATTTAGTTTACCCACCCAACTCTCCGTTAGGCATAAGTCTCCGTTAGACACCCATAGTTTACATTTTTCAGAAATTTCCAAAACAGTAAGCCCATCTTCTTTAAGACTGATTAGCCAACGTTCCCCCCCCCCTCTCCCCCGTCCCCTACAAATACTGTTTATTCTGAGATACAAGCGATTTCGCCAGATATCTGCGCAAGAAGCAAATCAGCGTCCTCCATCCAGCGATTCTTGCCTAATCTTAGGATTAAAGATTTGTTATATAGCGCTGATTTGGCTGGGTAATTTTCGCTTCAGGAAGACTTTGTTGGTCAGTTTCTTGGGCATGGGCAGCTTTTTTCCGCCGCCATATTCACTGTTTTCATTAAAGTAGCGTTGAAGGTTCTCAAAGCTTTGTTATAATTTTTTGTCAGATATATCTATATATTTTTGAATAGTTGGCCAACGCACGGCCTGCCCGTGCGAAGATGCGTTTTTTGCACGGTTCCCT